TAAAGACTCCGTACAGTAGCAAATATAGATGAAAGTACGCCTACAAATACATACACACAATGAAGCAGTTCATTATCAACGTGAGTGTCCATTAGTCATATAAGACAGGGCGGGGTTGTTGGTTATTTTTTTTTAACTTTAATGAATGATCGATAAATTTAGATTTATTGACTTTTTGAAGTATGAGTGAATAGTTGTTATATAATTTATTTTAGTAAGGAAAATGTACCAAAAAAGACATGGCTGGCTTCTGAATTTCATGCTTTCAATCTGTATGCCTAAATATTTCAAAGAGAACAACATTGCAAGTGATGCCTATCTTTATGTACAGTTTCATTGACTAATTGTGTCCCATTTGTGTTCAACTTTTATGTACAAGTTTTAGCTTTTAGCGGAGTTCGAGTTTTTTTTTTTATCTTTTTGTAATTTTTAGTTGACTGCAGTTTGTCTTTTATTCACATTTTTTGTTGTTTACCTTCTTCCACTTATCATATGGTTGTTGGATTTTTCTGCGTCCAACTGAAAATACTAATACCATGTACCTTAACCTCAAACATATGTATTGCCAATAGAAAAGAAAGGACAATGGATGAGAAATGATTTAAAAAAAAAAATATGAGGCATTAATAAGCAATATAATACAGAGGATACTTGACATAGAAATGTATGAACACTTTAAACAAAATTGGTATCACATAGCACAACACGACAGTATGTAATTTTGTACTCTTAATACGTACAATTGAGGTCCAAAAAATTATACTATTGATTTATTGTTGTCTGTTTAACGTGCGTATCCAGGAAGAGAACAGCTGATTGATTATTGTTTGTTTAAGGGTCAGTGTAAATATTAGATGCATATTCGGGATAAGAATAGAAATATCGGATTTAACTTTCTCATTCCGACTGACATTGTGGCTACGTATTTATACATCCCGCACAGTTACACAGAACCCAAATAAGCGTGGTTTTTTAAAACAGCCGGATAGAAGTCAAGGTGACCATATTTCTTTACCCCAGTCAATGGATGGATATTGTCAGTGTTTTATTATACATTGAGATAGTCGAAAGTTTAAATGAGTTTAATTTTCTTTTAAGTATGACGCGACTACATAAGACAAAGTTGGAAGCGGTTATATTTGCAATATTCACACTCTTAGAATTCTGTGAAATTGCACCGAAGAAAAACCACCTTTTAACCTACTACAACTGTGTGAATCATAGTCCTAGATCAAATTGTAAAGAGAAAAAACAACAGAAGCTTACTTTTTAGCCTCAACAATGAGCTATCCCATCGTATCGTTATGTATATCTCTTATATATGAGCCACCATAAGTAAGGCGCCGAGGGTCCCAAACGTCGAGTTCGAAACTACGTAGTGAAATTTTTAAACGTCAAAACTAAAAAAAGAGTATGCAGCAAGATAACCTGGCAACTGAACGTCAGTTTCCTTTTTATACATGTATAATTAAACGCATGGAGTGTTGTTTGTTTTTCTTCAACTTATGGTTTTTGATTGCCCCCTTGGTATTTTCTCCACATTTTATAGTAAATAGTGGTTTTATTTTCATATCATAATTTTTCAGGTATATTTTGTATATATTTTACCTTTCGATCACGGGTATTGCCTATGAGAATCGATTTAATGAAATATGCATCAACTTATTTGATTAATTTCGATTTTTATCATGTTTACGGTTTCCATCAACACAAGACTTGAATGAGTGCTATAATTATAAATACATGTATATCGTAACCACTTGAAACAATGGTAATATTGGATACGTATAGATATTGATTAAGTAAACGTCTACAAGCAATAATATATCAAAGAGTTTTGTGTCTTCATGGACAATTTAACAATAGACACAAAGATATATATCACACAGTAAAAGTACATAAAAGTTCACTTTGAGTACGTTATTGATTAGATATAATAATGAAATGTTGTTGCATGCATATCCTATATTGGGACTTGTTGGGTGGCGATTATGTTTAAACGGGAGAAATCCGTTTGCGCCAAAAATGAGTCCTTTTGCGCCTCAAATCAGATACGCCAATGCACGTTTGCGCCACTGATTCTAAAAATTAGTATCGTTTGCGACAAAAAGAAAGTATACGATTACGCCAATTTATTTGAATAAAAAACAATTAATAACTTCACTTCTCCTTTTTAACCGGGTATGGGACCATCAGTTTACCTCGGCGATGTTAAGGTGATTGATTTGGTGCTACTTACATGATTTATTAAAACCTTTTTATAAAATTTTCCGTTGATAAATTTAGAAATTATTAAGAAGGTAATTGGTTCCAACTCCATCAGGAAAAGTTGACCTTAGATTAATTTGTCTATTTTTAGATCCCTTTTGATCATATAGCTCTTCAATGATGCAGGCTTTATACATCTTTGGCATTCCGTCCTATTTATTCCATAAATCTTCTTTTTTTTTAGTAGCCACAATTTATAAGGGATAATTATGAACGGTAAATACATAAATGTATGTACAGGTAAATTGGCGCGATCGATACCCTTGAAAAATGATATTTTGCGCAAAGGATACATCTTGAAAATAGCAATTGGCACAAAAGGACTGCTGCCATTTTTGCATTGGACCATTTAAAACATTCGGACATTGTTGTATTGAGTGTAAAAAGGGGAGAATATACTAAATAGGTAATCCAAAAAGTAAACTAAAGACAAACAGAAAATACCATGGTAAAAAGCTAATCAAGCTAACACCAGTTCACAAAACTACACAAAAAATAATTTAAAAAATCGAGTACCCATCGTGTCAAATATTTCATGTCTGAACCAAACTGCTCTTTTAAATTTGTCTTCTTATAAGGGTATCGGATTTGAAACAAACAACAATCAATTAATCAAAGAGTCTCGGATATTGTTGTAACCAACCAAAATTACATGCATATCAATTGGTGTCATTTTATTGGTGATCCATACAATATCATCCATTGGGTAAAACAATCAACAAACAAACAATCAATTATTCCTTACTTGGAATAATTTATTTCTACATGTACTATTGATTTAATCAATATATTGGGCTTATTGGGGATCTGGATGTAATAGATAATGAGGACGGAGGTGGGGAATAAAGTAGGAGAAAAATGGACAAAAAATAAGGAACAGAGAAGAATGGGGTGATTAAATATAATGAACAATAAAAAGACAAAAATGTCCAAAAAATTAAAATACTGAAATGAAGACCCTCACAGAAACCCTTAACAATTATATATAGCCTAATTAGCTTTTACATGCAATTACCATTTTGACCAACATTTATATGATCTACGATGGTATATTTCGAAGCTTCAATGAAAACATTGTGAACAACAATCATGTTAGTAACTAAGTAATTCCTAGTTACCCATTACATGAAATAGACACTTTATAAATTTCGTTCGTCCGAGGCGCTTTCCTTGATTTTCAGGAACACTCTAACCGTGTAACTTTGCTGCAACGTTAGAAGTTGATGTGTAACTACGCTGCAACGTTAGAAGTTGATGTGTAACTACGCTGCAACGTTAGAAGTTGATGTATAACTACGCTGCAATGTTAGAAGTTGATATGTAACTACGCTGCGCACAACGTTAGAAGTTGTATTACCAAAATAGGACATAAATAGAATAGTCAAATCCATTAAACTTTTTAAGGTCAACTTTGACATGCGGTATTGGTACAAATGACCTAGAGACGTAACTTTAACTGTAATAAATATTCACTACAATGATGGCTCTAACCTGTTCATATTCTCTTTTTAACTCTCATGTTACAGTTAAATATACCAACGCAATTTTAAGTTTACAGGAAAATCTTATCGTTTTCTCTTATAAGTGTCTACATGACATTGTGTAGAAACTATCTATAGGACACTCGATAACACGTCAAGGTAATTGTTCAAACTGAATAATTTATTTGGTATAGAAAAGTTGCCTCTTATGGGAGCCTGTATTTGGATATTCATGCTATCCTAAAGATATTCTTAAAAATATATCAAGGCAAGTATTCAACCCGATTGCTTTATATAGTACAGACAAGTTACCCCTTTATAAGTACCCATATTTTAATATTCCAACTTCCAAATGATAATTACCTCCTATATAAGCACTAATATTTTAATATTCCATCTTCCGAAGGATATTTCATTAAGTTGAGGCATGTTTCTTTTTTTTTTTTTTTTTTTTTTAATTAATCAATTTTATTGCACCTTTGCTGTTAACAATTTACTCAATCTACAGCTTCAATTAAGTATCCCTTTAAATTAGTTATTGAATATCTAGGGAAAGATATTCAATAAAGTATATCTATAAAGTAAGTTATATTAATACAGATCAATACATTAGACTGAACAATTCTACATAATTTTTGTTTTTTTACCGGAATACGGTACGTTTCTTAACCTATACTGTATATGATTTTTTTATCAAAGCTTCACTGAACCGCGAAATTGATGATGTATTGATCTTTGATACTGATAGCATGACTCTTCAGTCGACAATAGAATTTTTAACTTAAAACTTTTTGTTTTGTTTACAACACTGAATTATATAAGAAGTCTTGGATGATGAGGTAAAAATGTTTTTTTTTTCACACATTATTTTTTAACAGTAAATGAGGCATGTTTCTTCAACCTTCTTGCTTTATATTGAATAGACGAATTACCTCTTATATACGTTCCAATATTTTAATATTGCAACTTCCGAAGGATGTTTTATTAAGTGAGGCAAGTTTTCAACTTTCTTGTTTGATATAGAAGAGACGAGTAACTTATTATATGAAGTGCCTATATTGAAATATCTCATCTTTCCGATGGATATTCTTCAAATAGCCTAGGCAACCGTTCAAACTGAATGATTGATATATCGTAGGCAAAATCTTTCAGTTGCATAATTACAATTAAATTTATGTTTTATGTTTAAAAAAACGAATCTTTTATGAATAGTTGCTAGGAGGAATAATTTAGTATCTACTACAAACCTACCTTTAATATACGTTTTCCCTGAGAGCATTTATTAACTCCTACTACCACGAAAAAAATGCACACTTGATTGCTTTTTGAAAATTGCTGTATGAACAAAAACATGAATCGATATAGGTGTGTTCAATAGAGTACAAATAAAGAACTAATTGTTTAGGCGTGGAAACGATCCAAAACATGGGACGATTGAGCCGTCGCTTAATCGCATGGAATCCTAACAGAAATATTTGCACTAATAAAACAGGTTTATTTGATTACATTCTTTTATAAATCATAAATGCACACACACATAATATAATAGAGACATTTAACCTATTGGTATGGATTGATCTGATAATCTGTTCGTTATAAACAGGTGCTTCAGTGACTAAGCTCCAGAGAGGCTTTAAATATGGTTAAATTGTATACTAACTATTAAGCAATATCAAAACAATAGCATGAAATTTGATACACCAATAGCTTTAATCCTATTACATACATTAAAGTTCAGTAAAAGTTTAAGGTAATTCTTATCCTTAAGAGAATTATATATTATTTATAAGGCCTGACTGTTATTATGGACCGAAATTGTTATTTATAAGTGTAGACTTTTTCCCTGCGTATTCTTAAGACAATACAAACGTCCTAACAATAACTATTCAGTTATATATCTTGCCCATAAATGATAAATCAAATATAAGAGCCAAATACAATGGCAGGGATAAACCTGCGCCCCTTTTTCAAACTTTCAGACTAAACTTTCTGCAAACTTTGATATGCATATATGCGAGTCCATTTCCTTTTTTATGAAAGCTATGAAGTACAACATGTTCACTGTCGGTTTTGTTTAAATCTATGGTACGAGATATTCGAATTATAAATTTAAACCACTTTTTACAGCAATGCAAGTCATGAATTGTTATGCATTTTACCTTATATCTAAATATTTACTGAAATTTCTTTTACCCGCACAACATCTGGACAAACAGCAAATTTCTAAGAATTACATTCATTGTTGTTATGTAAGATTGGTATATATTGCTTAAAGTAGCGTGCCGCCTTTCAATTATCTTGATGCAGGCCGTTTCAAATTTTAAAATAAATAAATTAGACAAAATATTGTACATTTCAAAAAGGATACATTTTAAGAAAAAAATATTTTACATATTTAATTCAATAATACACGTATGGTCACTAGTCTGCAGACAGAAATCGCGATATCAAAAACTGGTGTTAAAAGTTGATGAATTAGTTTGACCGTTAAAAAAAACGATTTTAATAAATCTTCACGTTGAATGATATTGCCAATATTTGTCTTATGAATATAAGAAGATGTGGTAGGATTTCCAATGAGACAACTCTCTACCAAAGACCAAATGACATAGAAGTTTACAACTATACGGCCTTCAACAATGAGCAAAACCCATATAGCACAGTCAGCTATAAAAAGCCCAGAAATGACAAATGTAAAACAATTCAAACGAGAAAACTAATGGCCTGATTTATGTACAAAACTATGAACGAAAAACAAATATGATATTCAGTCGGGGTTAGACTAGTTTGTTGGCGCCGAACCCTCCCATAACCTGGGACAGTGGTGTAACAGTACACCATAAGAACAATTTATAAAAATCAGTTGAAAAAGCTTTATTCGTCAAATCGATACAAAGCAGAAAAACACCTAACAAAAACACAGACCGGGCGTGGCAGGGTATTTATACATCCCTACAACAAAAAAGACACTAGATACAGATCTGAGAGTACTCGCAGTTACTTACAGCTAGTTCAAATCCAATAACAACTAATGAAAAGATCATGGATCTAAGACTAAAAAATCAATCAGTACACACTCAACATCCAATGGATTTAGTGTAGAGACGTCATTAACAGTCGGAGAAAAGCACGACCTTGTGCAATGCCAAAATACAGATATCGAACACCACCAGATTGGCAAAATCGTTGCTACAAGATGTTTTATTTGAAATTTGTCCGATAGTGTACATGATGCTGCTTCTACAATCACTGTTAATGAAATAGAGCGACATTATCCAACATTATTAATTTGAATAAAATCACAAACACACACCGGTAAATGTTTTCTTTTTCGTAATCAGCTGTAATTCATTTTCATCCCCTCCCCACCAGAAAAGTGATGTAACCGGCATACCCTTTCACTTATAGATACAGTGTTTACCAGAAGTCAAATAAAGGGTACTATATGAATATAAAAATCCGATGTAGTAGGATTGCCGGAGGACTAACTATCCGTAAAAAATGAAGACACAATAAACATCTACTGGTATGGTCAGAGCACCGTCTTACTGTCTATCAACAATGAGTAAAGACACAAAAAAAACTACAGTGCAACAATTCAATAATGTATGTTATCGTCACGATCAAACATCAGATAATGAAGAACCAACAATGCCATTGAAAAGGAACAAATATCAATACATGTACTAGTTATGAAAGAACAACACAGGAGGCTGTTTTTCTTGTGGTTCTTTATCTTGAATCCAACCAACAAGGGCAGTCTGATAATTAATTTACAACTAGAAATCTTGACTCAAGCCAAAATTGCAGAAGTTTATATATTATTCAAGCCTTTTCTTTTTTCCTTTAACTTATAGATCTACTGGTATACAAAATTGATATATTCCCTTATATTTTAGTTAAAGAAAGTAATTTTAGAACTTAATTGCCAAAACACTAGAATATATGAATCGAACTGGAAATAACAAGTAAAGATCATAGGAGTAGAATAGTGTGGTGGAACTAATGACATTTAATTCAACGATGTCATACACATTTTGAATTTCTCAGGCTTGAAATGGTAGCAAATGAGCGTGACACACCTAGATGAGATTTCAGCGACGCCAAGTCCCTCTATTATAACAACTGAAGTGGAAATATAAGCAAAAATGACATACAGATATGTTCAAATTGCATTTACTTCACCAGTTCTTTAAACATATTTGTTAAATACCAGTTGTCATAAAAGCTTTGATTATCATAAAATGCAGTGTTTTTGTTGACGTGTCAGCATTTAAGAAGAAAAAAATTACAGAAGACAAGAAAAAACTTGTTTGTTCAACCTACCGCAGTCAATTTAAAATAAATAGCGCGAAGGAAAAGAAATAAAACCGATACTTAACAGGTCATGCTTAAAAAATGTCAAATGGTCATTTTTTCAGCTATAGCAATGAAACTGATTAATTCATTTCGGCTTCTTTAATGTTCAATTGAAAACATTTCAAGCATATCAGGACTAGAATGAATTAGATTACTAGGCTAATAAGACGGTCCGGTAAAATGAATCGACCAGTATGGGTGGAGCAAAATTTAGATTTCTAATAGAACCAAATGTCATTTTAATGATGAAACTGAATTCTTCTCTTCGGAGGTGATGACAAAATCATGAATTGGTTCGTGAACATGGATATGGTTTAATTTGTCGTTACCACTATCCCGTCCTTTCCTTATAATTGACCGAATGCAACTCGATACCGGATTTTCACGTGTAATGAGCTACAGGCACTCTTTACCTCTCCAGAACATCTGATTTTAATCTCGGTTTTAGGTTTTGTTCGTGTTGCTCAATCTTCAGTTTTCTTTTCTCTTGATTATCTTTCCTCTCAAAACCTGACCATGACGTTGTCTTCCCTTGTTTGCATTGTCAGAAAATGCATACCCTTCCGGAGCACCTAGGTTTTTTTAACTACAGTTTTGTATTTTGTGGGTTTCTTTGTGTTCAATTTTTAGTTTTCTGTGTAATGTTTTGTTATTGTTATTGGAGGAAATCTTTGATGTAAAAAAACAATTACATACCAAAGAAAGAGTTGTTGAAAGGGAAGAGAAGGGTTTTCTGCAAAAATAGCACGCTTCCAACACGGGACATCATATTTAACCTCATATTCTGTTCGACTGAGGCAGTGTATTTATAAATCCCTCTTACACTGAATAATCCTCTTTATCACGGATCTTGCTGTTGAACAGGAGAGATTTAGTTGAACCTTTCTAATACCAAGCCATCTTTTGGGATTTCAACTGTATGTTACATGTATCATCGAATATAGATTAACGACTTGCTGAGTTAGACAATTTACATAACTGATATGATTCTGCATTATCGAAATAATATCTGCTCGGTCTGGAGTTGGATCAATTTTACAAGTGAATGAGTTCATTTCCGGCATATTTAGTCATTTAAAATTTTACTATCTATTAAAAGTGGCGCCGGATATAGCTAGAACAGAAATATTTCAAAGATAACTTAAAAAATATGCACTAATTTTTCAATTTCTGTAATTAAGATGAAAGATGGCTGGAAGATAATGGATGAAAATGGACAAAAAAAAAACACTTTTTCAGATCAAAACGTTATACAAAATTAATTGTTGGTAGTAAAGGAAGAGTTATTCCTAAAATATTAACAATTCTGTTGAAATATAAAAAGGGGACAGTTAAATGGATGCTAATTTCATATTAAAGTAAAAATTGATTTGCCATTAATTGTGTACGTTATATGTGATTTTACTCTTCTTGAAATAGAATATATATCCAAGCATGTAATAAAATAACATTCACTACTGATAATTCGCAATTGTAAAACGAACACTTGACTTGCGGCTAGAACTATAGCATGAGCTAATATACATGTTGATACTCCAAACAAGAGATGCGAAAGATACCAAAAGGGACATTTAAATTCATAAGTCGAAAATAAACTGACAACACCATGAAAAAAAATAAACAGCTGCGCCATGAGCGCATGATACGCCCGTCGCGTTTTCAAAAAATAAAGTTCAATAACTTCTCAATGTCATATCAGAAATTTATGGAAACAGAAGGGAGTTTATCTTAATAGATACAACCCAGTCACCAAAGTTTCATAAACACTGCTCAAAGTACCTTAAAGATGTTGTCCGAAAACTGGAAAATTACCCATTTTTTATGAATAAAATCCCATAACTTGGAAACGTAAAATCTAAAATTTATAAACATCGAAACAAAGCTTACGTCAATAGATATAAACAATTCACCAATGTTTCATGAAAACTGCTGAAAGCATTTTTGAGTTATTGTCCGAAAACTGGAAAATACCCCTTTTTTAATGAATAAAACCCCATTACTCGGAAATGTAAAATCTAAAAT